CATCCATCATTTTCTGGATTGTTTGATATTTGTGCATACTTACCCCAAATAATCATTCCATCTCCATTAACCATTCCTAATTCACTAACATTAACTTCAATTATTGTTCCTTTAGTTAAAACACCTAAATCAGTGTAAAGTTCACCATGTGGGTTCTTTTTAACAGACATTATTGGTAGTTTGTATGTACAGTTATATTCTGAATGGACTACATGAGCTGAAGACATCCTTTGACTCATCGGTCTAATAAACTTTTCTCTCTTTGGTATATTCCTTGTAAAATCATTACCAACAAAACATGGCTTATTAATTATTCTTTTCCATTGCTTTTTGTTTCTTTTACCACTCGTTAATACTTCAAATATTTCCTTCTGAGATTTTCCTTCAACCTTAGCAATTGGTACTGAAAACTTAGAAGCTTTATCTTGTCTTCTTTGTTTAATCTTATCATTAAGTTTTTTTCCTTCGTTTTGTCTATCAAGCAAATATGCTGGTAATCCCTCTGTTTCAATAACTTCTTTATCTTTAACTTTCTTCTCTTTAAGTATTTCATTCTTTTTAAGCTGAATTTTCTCTGCATGTCTTTTCTTTTTAAATATCTTAGCTTTCAATCCAATTAATGTCTTTGATTGCTTGGCTATCTTTTTTTCCTCTCTAGCTTCTTTTTTAAGTAATTTTTCTTCATAATCTAAAGCTCTTCCATATTCTTTTATATGCTGTTCAACAAAATTATTTTGTGACATGGGTAGTAAAAATTTTTTTAAAAAATTGATTTAATTTAAAATTATTTATTATATTTAAATGTATCTAGCTTGATATCTGGTAACTTATCTATCACTTCATTTGTTTTTCTAAATTTAAAAACAATGAAACACTTCTGTTTGTTGTTAACATCTTCTTTCTTAAATCCACATTTTTCTAATTTTTCAATCAATTTAGAACAACTAGATATTCTACTTTTTAGCTCACCGTAATAAAAAATTCCATCAACTTTAAGTATTCTGTTAACTTCCTTAATCACTTTTGTTATGTTATTTTTCATAATTGACAGTGAACATACAACAATATCAAAGAAATTATTTTCCACTGGAATATTTTCTATATCAGCTTTAACAACATCCTCACTACATGGAAATTGATCATATAAATAGTGGTTTTGATTTATCTTTTTTGTCTTACCGCAACCTAAATCACCAACAACTATGTTTTTTGTTTTATTAATTTCATTATAAATTAACTTGTTAGGCGTTGTTGGCCATTTTTTCGTTTGTTTTTCATAATATTCAAAGTATTTAATGAAATCTTTAGTTGAAAATTTTTGATTCGATGACATGTTTTCATTCATAATTCGGAATTTTGAGCCGTTTAATCTATTTTCTAAAGCTTCCTTAAAATTCTTTTTCTCTTTTAAATTATTCTTTTTAATCATTTTATAAGATTGTTCTTATTTATGGGGATAAAAAATTTTTTAATAAATCCATTAATTTAAATGACAAGCCAAAGCTTACAAATTGAATATGTAACATTAAAAGATTTTAAATCATATAAAGGAGAGTATAGAATTGGACCATTTGATAAACACTTTACTGCTATTGTAGGTCCTAATGGATCTGGTAAATCTAACATAATTGATGGTATTTTGTTTGTTTTAGGTTATAAAGCTAAGAAAATGAGAAATTCATCAATAAGTGCACTTATTAATCATGAATGTACCTCTTGTAGTGTAACTATAGAATTTAATAATCTTCATATAATGAGGATTGCAGAAAAGAATAATACATCTAAGTACTTTATTAAAGATACAAACAAATCTAATTCTTTTAAATCAATACCATTTGCAAAGTTATCAACACTTTTAAAAGAAGAGTATAATATTGATTTAGATCATAATAGATTTTTAATATTACAAGGTGAAATAGAATCAATAGCAATGATGGGGTCAATGGAATTACTAGCTTATATAGAGGATTGTATAGGATCATCAAAGTACATTAAAGTAATTGAAGAAAATGAAAACAACATTGTTGATTGTAAACAGAAATTAGTGAGATATGAAAGTGAAATTGAGTTTTATGAGAATGATTATAAGTTTAAGAAGACTAAAAGGGAAGAAAAGATTGTTGTTTTAAATATGAAAATGACTTTGAATGATTTACAGATGAAAATTGTTTGTGTTAAAGAAGAACAAGCTAAAAGAGATTTAGAATTATTAAAGGAAGAACAAGAAAAACTAAAAAATATCCTTGAAAATATTAATTATGAAATCAAACAAAATCTAGATTCTGTAGATGTTAATAATATTTTACAAGTTGATAAAGAATTAGAAAAAAGATATTATGAGGAGAGAATGAAATATAATCAGATGATGAGAGCAAGTGAAATTAATAAAAATAAAATAGAAATGCTTTTAGAAGAAATAACTGAAGTTGAAAATAGTAAGAAAGAGAAGGATAATCTTAAAGATAAGATAAAGGAGTTTATGGTAAATTTAGAATCTTTTCAAAAGTCAAAATTAAAATTAGAAGGAGAATTATCAAATTTAAATACAAATAAACATTCTACACAATTGAATGAGTTTAATAAAACTAAGAAAGATTTAAAAAAAGAATTAATGATAATGATTGATAAGCAAAACAAATATGAAAAGAATTTAACAGTACAAGAAGAAAATATAAAAAGAAAGAAGTTGATAGAAATAGAAATTAAAAAATTACAAAATTTAAAATCTTGTAACATAACAGAAGAACAATTAAATGATTATTTAAAAGATAAAGAAGCTACTTTAAGGGAAATAAGAATTAGAAAACAAAACGCATATGAATTTAAGTATCTTGAAAATCAATATAAGAAAGAAAAAGAAGTTATAAATAACATCAAACATGTAAATGGATATTTAGGACCCCTTAAAACTTTTAATAACGTAGATAAAGAATATGAAGTGGCCGTAGAAGCAGCTTGTACTTCATTAAATTCAATTGTTGTTGAGACATCAAAAAGTGCTGAAGAAATGATTAAGATTATAAATTCTAAGAATCTTCAAAGAACTACTTTTATTATATTAGATAAAATAGATAAAAAGTATAATTATAATAAGCAACATGAAGAATATTTGCTTTTTAAAAAAATTAATTGTGAGGAAAGGTTTGAGCCTTGTTTTTATTTTGCTTTAAGAGATACGTTAGTAGTTGATGATATAAAAACAGCACGTTCTTTAGCTTTTGGTAAGAATAGAAATAGAGTGGTAACAAAAGATGGTAAATTATTAGAAAAATCAGGAATTATGTCTGGTGGTAAAAAAGTTGGTAAAATTAAATCGACTGTTGAATTAGAAGAGATTGTTAAAGATATACAAATGAAATATGATAAAGAAAACAGTATTTATCAAGAGTATAAAACAAGTGGAATTAGAATTAAAGAATTAAAGAAAGAATTGGATAAAATTAAAGAGATAAATGTTCAAGAGTATGTTAATTATGAAGAAGAAATTGAAAAAGTAAAAAGTAAATTACTAAATTTAGAAAATAAATTACCTGAAGAATTAAAAGAACATAACAAAAGATGTAAAGATTTAGAAAATGAATTATCAAAGATTAATAATTCAATATTTGAACTTCAATTGAAAATTAGTGAACATCAAGGAAAATTAAATTTAACAAAAAATCATAAAAATCTTAAAAACCTAAAAAAAGAGTATGAAGATTTGTTAAATAAAAATAATTTTAGTTGTCAAATTGATAAAACAAAATATGAAGAAATAAAAAAGGAATATGAAGAAATGATTGATAGAGTTGATAAACATAATAAGGAAATTAAAGAATGTAGAGAAAGAATGGATAAATTAGTTAAAGAACAAATTCAGATAAAATACGATGCTAATGTACTAAAAAATAAAAAGAGTGAAGGTAAGAAAGTATTGAATATTTGTGAGAACACTTTAGCAAAATTAATAGAGGAAGTAGAAAGAATAAAAGAAGTTTTATCTTATGGAAGTATAGATTTTGAAAACATATCGAATATAGAAGAAAGAAATAATTGTAAAATTAAGAAATATGACGTAATTAATAAAAGTAAAGAAATAAATATAAAAGAAGTAGTTAATGAAGTAAAAGAACAATTTTCTATGGAAAGTGATTTAAAAACTTTAAGTGTAAATTACATTAATCAATATAACAATGAAACTAGTGAGTGTAAGAAATTATTAAATGAGAAATTCAAAGTAACAGAAGAAGAGTTAATTCAATCATTTTGTAAAGATAGTTATTTGTTATATAAATCAATCTTTGTTGATTTTATAAAAAGTAAAGAGAAATTTAATAAAGTTAAATCTAATTTTGATAGAACGACATTAAAATTAAAAGAGTTACAAAATGAACTTGAAGAAATTAAAAACAACAGACTCACTGAATTTCTTAGTGGATTTAATATCATTAATAGACATCTTAAAAAGATATTCTCAAATATTACTTTTGGTGGGAATGCTGAATTAGATCTTTTAAATTACTTAGATCCATTTAGTGATGGTTTATCATTAAATGTTCTTCCACCTAAAAAATCATGGAAAGCAGTAAGTAGTTTAAGTGGCGGTGAAAAGACACTCTCTTCACTTTCTTTAATCTTTGCTCTTCATAAATATAAGCCAAGTAGTTTTTATATTATGGATGAGATTGATGCAGCACTTGATTATAGAAATGTTTCAATAATTTCTCAATACGTATCGAGGATATCAAGTCAGTTTATAATTATTAGTCTTAGAAATGACATGTTTGAGAAAGCTCAGGTGCTTGTTGGTGTTTATAAAAACGGAGATGTGTCAAAATTTATAACATGTGATGTAAGAAAAATGAAAAACTAAAAATTAAATTCTAAAATAGGAAAATAAAATATTTTATTTTACGAGATGTTATGTAATCTCTTCATATGCGAGCTTAATCCCTTCTTATATACGTACGAGGTACCGCAATAGATACATTGATACAGTATTTTATCCTCTTTTTAATTTTAATGTATTGTATCCCATCAGACTCAAATATATTTTCACACTGTTCTACAGGAAGATTCTTGATCTTGTAAACAAAATATAAAAATAGTTTTGCTTCTTCTTCAAGTTTGTCATCTTTTGCCATTAAAAAAACTCCTAAAAATATTTTATCTGGTGTTATTTATAAATATCAAAATATCTCAGACTGATTGACATTTAGTGAATAAATCATTCAATCTCTGTTAATTTTTATTTTAAATTTCATATTTTAATTATTATATAAGAATTTAATAATCTTATAAAAAGTGATGTTTGACATTTGATCAATTTAAATAAAATGAATTTAAGCTAATTCATTTATAAAAAAATCAAATCAAATCAACTTAGTTAGAATTAATTTATAAAACTTTAAATAAAAAAGTAATTTATTAAAAAGATATTTTTTATAAAACAATATTTGAATTCTATTTTATACATCTAATTATATTTTATATAGAAAAGAATCTAAAATAAAAAATAGATTAAGATTTTTCCCATATGTTTTTAAAATCCAGAAATGTGGACAAGAATATAATTGGAATTGATTTGGGAACCACTAATTCATTGGCAGCCTATATAAAAGACAATAAGTCAATAGTTATAAAAGATACTGATGGTAAGAAAGTAGTTCCATCAATAGTTTATTTGTCAAATAATGAAGAATTAATTGGTAACAAAGCTAAAAACATGCTTATTACTGATCCTTTAAATACAATTTTTGCTAGTAAAAGATTAATTGGAAGAAAATTAAGTGATTCAATTTTTAAATCAGACAATGAAAATTTTTTACAAAAATTGCCATACTTAACTAAAGAGGATTGTAGTGGAAGAGTTAAAATTATAACTGAGAAGGGGGTGTTTTCTCCTGTTGAGATTGGAGCAAAAATATTAAAATATATAAAGGAATATGTAAGTAAGGTTATTGGTAAGGATGTAGGATCTGCTGTTATTACTGTTCCAGCATATTTTAATGATACTCAGAGACAAGCAACAAAAGATGCTGGTCAATTAGCAGGTTGGAATGTTTTGAGAATTATTAATGAACCAACGGCAGCCGCTTTAGCTTATGGACTTGATAAGAAAAGAGAAGGTTATATAGCAGTTTATGATTTAGGAGGAGGAACATTTGATATTTCTATTTTGGAAATAAAAGATGGAATCTTTCAAGTAAAATCAACAAATGGAAACACTTTTTTAGGAGGAGAAGATTTTGATAGTGAATTTGTTAAATTTTTAGCAAACATGTTTCATATGAAAGAAGGAATAGATATTTCATCTAATAAAGAAGCTTTGAATAAGTTGAAAATATCAGCTGAAATAGCTAAGAAAAAATTGACAGATCGAAAGAATGTAAATGTGTTTGTTGAAAATATAGTTGATGGATTAGACTTTGATGTAGATTATCAAGAGAACAATTTAATAGTTCTGTAAAAAGAGTAGCATTAAGAACTATCGAGCCATGCGAAGAAGCAATCAAAG